CCTCACGGGAAGGATGGGCCCCAGGAAGAGCGGGAGCCTGCCAAAAAAAGTGGGACAGGGCAGACCCCTTCCACAGATGTGGAGTGGGAATTGGGTTCCTGGCCCCACAGACCCCACAGGGCATGATGCCAGCCACATAACCTCCCATGAAGACTCCCATGGGCTGAGGACCCCCAGTCCCAGCCTCCCTCTTACCTTCAGCCCCTTTGCCCTGTTAATGGCTCGCAGAGGCCTCAGCACCCTCAGCACCCTGAGGATCTTCACCACAGAGATGGCACTGGACCTGAGGAGGAAGGCAGAGCTGAGATGAGGAAACTCCCCTGTCCACTCCAGCCTGACACAGCCCCACCGAGTAGCTTGGGAGGCCAGGCTGGGGCCAGAGGTTAGGGGAAAGTGATGGCAGAGACACGCAGATGTCACTAAGCCATTATGCCACATAAGGCCAGGGGACACTGGCAGCTGGAGAAGCAGCTCAAAATTGAATTCCTAGGCAGCTCTCCACCTTTGACACCCAAGGACTTCGCCTCCCTGCCTCCCAGTTGTCCATGCCCTGTCCCCTTAAGCATGACTTTATGGACACTAACACGTGTGCTGATGCCCAGCCCTTGGGCTGGCTGCTCCTTCTCCATCCAGCACAGAGAGCTGCAGCGCCCCAGCTGCCCTGACAGGCTGAACAGTCCAGTGCCCACCCTGCGAAGTGTGGAGGAGCTTACTCGATGCCCTTGGAGACGAGGGAGACAGCAACCACCAGCAAGTCAAGGATATTGAAAGAGTTCCTGCAGAAGGAGCCTTTGTGCAGGAAAGCACCATAGGCAGTCATCTGGGGAGCAGAAGGAGTATGAGCATCCATGGCCAGAACAGGCTACACCCATGCGCTGGGTCATGTACGTGGCCAGGACCACGGGGCAGAGGAACACACCTTCAAGACGATTTCAACTGTGAAGACAGAGGTGAAACCGATGTCAAAGTATCCAAGAATCTGGGGACAGAAGCATCAGAATTGGATGAGATTTATGTGACGTGGGAAATGCTCCAGTGTGTTAAGACGACTTGGCACTGTGATTTTGCCCTCCACTCTGTGGACCGAGGAGCTCACCTAGCTCATTAGAGCCTGGAAACCCAGTGCCAAGAAGGCTCCTGAACTTCCCTCCTCTTTGCTGATTTTCCCCAGTGCACGATCCAACCTTCAGCCTGGACCAAGCTCTCAGTTTCCAAGTGAGAGAGGCTTCACCCGATTTAGCTGAAAACATCTGATCCCCAAAAGACCTGAGTGCCCTGGGAAACTGTCTCGTGTGAGACCCTCCCAGCCTCTGCCTGACAGTGCACGAGTGCAGGCTCATTTGTGCCTCACATGGCCAGACCTATGGCTACCACTGCTCTATGCCAGCAGCGTTTCAGGGTGCTGCACACCCCGGTGCTCCAGTTTGCCACCTCACGGGATGTCCTTATTCCCAGTAAGCCACCACAGCCCTGAACCAATGTAATCTTACACACCCTGTCAGGTGGATCTCTTCACCCAGAAGTAAACTGAGACATGGAGCAGTAAACACTTGTCCCAATTGTGCCCCGAATGGAGAACACAAACAGCCTTTCCTCCCAGAGTGAATTACACTCCCAAAGGCAGGGCTGAAATCACAGCTACCTGTCTAGGCATGATATCTGGCAAGCAGGTCTCTGCTTACTGGGCAGCTGGGGGTCTTCATGAGGTCTGCCCCTCCCATCCCAACCCTCCACAGCTACGTGGGCACCTTGTTGCGGAAGGACTCGGCCCGGATGGGATCTTCAGCTGCTAGTGAGATGCTGCTGAGCAGAATGAAGAGGAGGATGAAGTTGGTGAACCAAGTGGCGTTGACGGTTCTGTGGCACAGCATCCTAAACCTGCCAGGGACACGAATGGCATGAGATGCTGTGAGGGGCCAGAGGGACATCAGATAGGGCCACGGTAGCCTGGAAGAGGGTTATGGCTAAACCCTGAGGACAGGAAGGTCCTAGGCATGAAAGGAAGTCTGTGCCAGCTCCTTCCATGGAGAGCTGACTCCCTTCAGAGCTGGCTGTTACACACAAGCAGGACCCTGTTGGGAAGGTGCCAGAGGTTCCTGAGCCAGGCCTGGCTGTATGAGGCAGGGGGAAGAGTCAGTGCCTACTTGTTGGTGGGGCTGAAGATGAAGAAGGAGCTTGCATCAGGCATGGGCACAGCCTTCTCTTTCAGCTGTAGCTCTGCGAGGGGACGTGGACGAGGACTCAGGGGGATTTCGGGTTCATCTTCTTCATCATCACCTGCAGAGTGGCCATGAGGAGGTAAAATGAAAGAATCACCCAGAGAGGGAAAGGGAATGTGAGGTTATGGACAGTCCTCTGGTCCTGCGATCCTCATTTGGCATCTGTGCCAGGAGGACCTCAGTACCCTGAGGCTGGCAGAGGGTCACCACATCCTTCACTCCTCACACAGCACCACTCCTCTGCAGGGTGTCCCCAGCTTTCCTGCTGTCCTGCTGGGGAAAAGTCTTACCTGGAAAGTCTGCAGAAGGGTAGGGGTCTTTGATCTCATTGACATTGGATTCAAATTCGTCCACTTTTAACTGAAACGAGTGAGAGACAGAGAGGAGGACATGCAGCTGCGTGTGCCAGTATTGGTGCCAAATGTTGCACATTGGCCAGACCCTACCACGTTGGAACCACATGGGGCAAGCAATGTCTCTGCATTTGGCCCACACAGCACCAAGCACATGGAGTCCTGGCCCAGCATGGAGCAGGGTGAAGAGAAACACCTCAGGGATGCTGCAGTCCCAGCAAAGAGCAATACCAAGAGGATAGGACAGGGGAATGTGTGCTGGATAAGAGCCTGGGGCCATGCACCTATACCATGTGTGGAATAAGACATGAGGTGACTCCTGGGTTAGTTCCCACGGGGCACCCCTGGAAAGATGATAGGGAAGTATCTGCTGGCCAGAAGCTTATAAGAGGCAGCTCAGCACAGTCAGCACAGCTGAACAGAGGGTTTCGCATACAGGGGGTGCTGGTGTGGACACAAAGGAGGCCTGGGAAGCTGCTGATCTGCTCTGCTCATCTCCACACTGGTGTGCACCAGCCTATCTCAACCAGTGACAACTGTCTGTGGCCAAGGAAAGGAATCAGAGGAGAAGGATACACAGCACTGGACCTGTTTCACCAGGCAGCATGTCCTCCCTGGGCCCAGAGAGCCTCATCACCAGAGGATGCTGAGGCAAGGAGAAATTCTAGCCAGATCCAGGCTGGCTCCAAGCCTTTGTCAGTCCTGGCTGGTGGCAGGAGGAGCCTGGTCCCTCACCCAGAGCTCCCCAAGGCGCATCCCCACCAACACTGACCTTGGCTGTTGTGGGAATCCCTTCTCCCTTCATTTTTTGCTCAAGCTTCTTTGCCAGCATCTGCTTCTCATCTTCAGACTTTTCTGGGTAACCTCTGAGTGGAGAGGAGGGAAGAGCAGGAACTGAACTCTAGGCAGGGGCATGGGCAATGCCGTTTTGTCCCCTCACACCAAAGCACCTGGTTTGGGAGCTCCCACTGCCAGGGACTGCAGCTCTCACCTGGACATCTTCCGCCGCTTGCGTTCCTCTGCTTTGGCCTTCTGGGCTAAGGTCAGGCTCTCAGCCTCGGCCAGGTTATCAACCGCGATGGCCAGGAAGACATTGAGGAGGATATCTGGAGGGACAGCACTAAGGATATGAACTTGATTCCCATTTGGAGGATGTGGCCATAGCTGTGCGTAATTGCCAGAGTGCCCAGAGAAACCTTCCTGGAGTTGAGCCCTTGAGATAATCTTGGCTGGTGACCCCTAACCCTGCACCCATCCTTGTGAGTCCTGAGCTCTACCTTAGCTCGGTCCACCCAGCTCAGCCTTGTCACCGCATTGACCGACAGCTGAACCTATGAACTCTCTACTATGAACTCTCAGCAATGCTTGAGCACTGTGTCCAGTTTCGGTCCCCGCTATACAAAAAAGATGTGGACAGGTTGGAAAGGGTCCAGAGAAGGGCCACGAGGATGCACTGGAAGAGCTGCCCTATGGAGAAAGGCTGAGAAAACTGGGTCTGTTCAGCCTTCAGAAGAGAAGACTTAGAGGAGACCTTTTCACCCTGTACCAGTACATACAGGGTGACACCAAGAAGATGGAGACTTCCTTTTCACAAGGGGAGAAGACGAGGGGTCATGGACACAAGTTGCTTCTGGAGAGATCCCGATTGAACTCGAGGAGAAATTTGTTTCCCATGAGATCAATGAGACACTGGAACAATCTCCAGGGGAAGTGGTGAATTCCCCTACATTAGGCAGTTTTGAGAGTCAGCTTGGCAGGGTGCTGACCCATCTCATTTAAACGACACTGTTACCTTGGGAGGTTGGACTGGAGGATCTTTGTGGACCCATCAACCCCAGGATTCTGTGATTCTGTGTCAACCTGTGCCTTCCTTTAGGCTCCCAGCCATCACCAGTGCAAGCTGGGAAGCCCGCGGTTTGTTCCCCTGCTGTTCAGAATTGAAAAGCTTAAGGCAAGCATTGAAACCCCCCCCTTCCCCCCTTCCCAGTCCTGTGTAGCTGATGCTATGGGGCTGAGTATAGGGAGTCTGGGCCTGGCTTTGCAGACAGAGGATACAGTTCCCACAGACGAAGAGGATGATGAAGTAGATGCAGACCAGCATGCCAGGAAAGGATGGGCCCCCATAGGCCATGATCCCATCGTACATGATAGAATTCCAGTCCTCTCCAGTCAGGATCTGGGAGCAGAGCAGAAATGGAGGCTCAAGAGCCTTCACAGCAGAGCACGGCAGAACCCCACAGCCAAATCCCACCTCCCAGCTCCAGCCGTGCATCTGGCCCCAGTCACGCTCCCCTGCTTTTGCCTTAAAGCCACATCAGCTCCCACAGACCCACATCTCTCTGAGCCCCAGCTCCTGCCAGCAGACCCATGGCCCTGTCCTCCAGCCCTGCTACACTTCCCACAGCCCCAGACCTGGAAGACACTGATGAGGGCCTGAGGGAAGTTGTCGAATGTGCTGCGGTGGATTTGCATGTCCTCAAAGTCAAATTTGCCCCCAAAGAGCTGCATGCCCAGCAGCGCAAAGACAATGATGAAGAGGAACAGGAGGAGGAGCAGAGATGCAATGGAGCGGACCGAGTTGAGCAGGGAGGCCACCAGGTTGCTCAAGGATGTCCAGTACCTGGGGAGAAGAGATGAGAGACAGCAGTGTGCAGGAGGTGGAGGAGTGGGGCAGGCTGTGGGCAGGACCAGGTAGGTAGAGTGTGGCCCAGGGGATGGCAACCCAGCACAGGGGGGCTCCGAACCGGCCTGGGCACTGGGACTGCTCCAGCTGGGCCCTGGGAGGTGGAAATGAAGCTCCAGGCTTGGTGCAACAGGCAAGAAACATTGCTGCCTGCATAGACAGGACAGGGAGGCGGGATGAGCACAGTGCGCTTGTGCCAGAAAGAGAAGCCAGGAGTCCCAGCCCACAGTACCCCCATTTACAACACCCCGAAACCCAGAGTGAGACAGGGACCCCAGGAGACTTCCAGCAAGCCCTGCTCTGTCCTCCTTGCCACTCCCAGACCATGTCCTCAAGACAGAAATCCCCATCTTGGCCTTGTTCCTCCATCCAGGAGCTATCAGCTCTGCTTATGCTGCAGCTCTCCCCAGGGACAAGGCCAGCGATGTCTAGGGACCACAAGCCCCCAGCACCCACAGAGCTTTCTCCCCAACCTGGTGATCTTGAAGATGCGGAGGAGCCGGATGCAGCGCAGCACAGAGATGCCCAGGGGTGACAAGGTGCCAAGCTCCACCAGGATGATCTCCAAGATCCCCGAACACACCACGAAGCAGTCGAAGCGGTTGAAGAGCGACATGAAGTACTGGCGCAGGCCCAGCGCGTACATCTTCAGAAGCATCTCTGCCACAAAGAGTGCTAGCAGCACCCGGTTGGCGTTGTCTGGAGTGGGAGATGCAGCCCATCAGAGCACGGACCTCTTCATCCCAGCATGGCACAGCAGGAAGGGAAGGAGGGCAGGGCTGCCCACATCTCTTCTCTGGCCACCACTGAGCCTGGAGCTGCAGCTGCAGCAAATGCTGTTTTTCAGGGAGCACACAGGAGAGAAGGGTGACGTGCATCTGTGTGCTTGTACATGAGAGCTTGCGGCTGCACTGTGCACGTGAGTCCATGCAGCGTGTGCATGTGTGCTGTGCTGCACATGTGTGCGTGCGACTGAGCTGTGTACACATGTGCACAGCTGTACTCCATGTGTCTGTGTATGTTTGTGTGTGGGGGGGTGCAGGTAGAGTGACTGCATGCACAAATGTGTGTGGCTGTACTGCATGAGTGCATGCAATGTGTGTTTGTGTGTATTGTGCTTGTACAGGTGTAAAAGTATACAATCTGTGTGTGTTCACCATGCAGAGCCACGTCCCTAAGAATACAGACGCCGTGCAGGTATAACCGTATGCCCCACGCGTGTTCAGTGTGCAGTTGTGTGGCAGTGCATGGGGATGGTGTGCACACACTTGTGTGCAGGCTGTGTCTGTGTGCACGAGCAAACCTGCACGTGTCCAACAGCCCCTGTGCCATGCTAGCATGGTCATGCACGCACAGTAAAGGTCCGTGCATATCTCCAGGGCAGCAGGGCGTCCCAGGCTCTCCCTCTTCCTCAGGGTCTTTGCTCACCTTGCACTTGTGTCAGCCATTCTGGCTGGAAGTGGTGCTCAGAGGCGATGGAGAGGGTGTTCAGTGCCACCACCAGGATGACAAGCCAGTAGAAGAACTTGGACTTCACCACATCCCTGCACTTTCTACGAAACATTCGGTTCCAACGCCTCCACTGATGGCTGCAGAGACAGCCAAAGTGTCAGCAGGGATGGTCAGCAGGCCCTGCCCAGCCCAGGGCTGCACCAGCAAACTGCAGAGCAAAGCCACCCCTACGCCCCTCTCCAGGGGCCTTCCCTGAAAAGGGTTGAGGAACACAACCCTGGCCCCTTGTGCATTCACTCAGGCATTGCAGTTCATCCACACAAACACCTCATGGCTTCTTTTTGGCCTACAGTCGCCTCTGGTTGGCTGCTACAGGCCTGACTCCTAAGTCACCAGACATGCTGCATGGGCCATGAGAGGACGCTTGTAGTCTGGCCCCAAAGTGAAGAGGTTGTTCTCCTTTAAGTGGCTTTTTGCCAGTTCTAGAGCATAATTCCCTGTTTGCTGTCCACAATGTTTGCACCTCCTCTTGAGGACACAGCCCCGGCTCTCCCCCAGAAACTGGTGGCTGACAGGAAAGCCTGGCCCAGCCAGGACAACAAGCGAAAGACTGTGCAAGCCCCATGCAGAGCAGCAGATAGTCCAACCAGTATGTACTTACAAGTAGAGAATCCACTTATTCATGCCCTCAATTTCATACAAGCTCTCTGTCTCTGACCCTCCTTCATCCGACGGCCTCATACCTATGGAGGGAATGACATGGCAGGCTTTCCTTTGAGCCCTTGGGAAGAACACGTGGGAGGGGACCT